GCCAATTTTCAGATTTCATCACTGTCACACTTTGAATGACAATTACTCAGTCATGCAACACTGAATCCAAATTCAATTTTTTATTGTTTTTTGGAGACTGATAGAGCTTTATTTTGGTGGTATTTTTTTATCAATACTGTGTTTTTTTATTGTTTATTATAGAAACAAAAAAAATTACAATTTTGATAAAAGAAAAGTTTTCCTTAGTTTCCGTTATAAAATTTTTCAAATAAATAATCTCTCTCATAAATGTAAGACAAAATGTATTCTGCTACTTTTCTTTGGTAAAACAACCCAAATCAGTGTAAATTATTTAGTCTGTGTAAAAGTTAGTCTACAAACTATGGTATAAATATTTGAAAATTGATCAATCCAGATGTTTCTTGAGGCCCTAAAATGCCAGGACAGTACAAATTCCACCCCTTTCCTTTTTGGAAAGTTCACAATCCAAGGTATTTAGTGAAAGGCATGGTGAGTTTTTTTAAAGTTGTATTTTTTTTTTCACAATTTTTGGGAAAATTAAGAAAGTAACATTTTTTTCTCCACAAAGTTGTCATTTTAACAAGGTATATCTCACGCCAAGAAGCACCTTCAGGCTTTCAAGTTACACATAGTTACACGTAAATCATGAATCTAAATTTTCTACCTATTACAATTTTGGAAGCCCTGGAGCACCAGTACAGTGGAAAAATGCACAAAATGATACCATTTTGGAAAGCAAACACACCAAGGTATTTTCGAAGAGTCATAATGAGTCTTTTGAAAATATCATTGTTGCCACAAGTTTTTGAAAAAATTTTTTTTTCACACAAGTGGTCAATTAATAAAATATTTCAAACACACATCATAGGCACACTTAGAATTACACGCCAAAACACATTCTGCTACTCCCTCCTCCTGAGCATGGTGATACCACATGTGAGACTTTTTCACAACCTAGCCACATAATGGTGCCCAAAATCCAAGGAGCACTTTCAAGCTTTCTTAGGGCCTCAATTTATGCATCTAATTTCCTGACTACCCATCACATTTTTGGAGGCCCTGGAACATCAGGACAGTGGAAACAGCCACAAAATGACCACATTTTGGAAAGCAAACACTCCAAGGTATTTTCTAAAAGCCATGGTAAGTCTTTTGAAGACTTCATTTTTTTACCACATGTATTTGGAAAATGCTGAATGAAAATTTAATTTTTTAATTCTAAGTTCTCAATTTAATAAGATATTTCTCACATACAGCAAGGGCATACTTAAACAATTCAAAACACATCTTGTGCATCACACAAATCCACAAATTGTATTTAAACCGGTGTACTGTAGTGGTCACTTCAATAAATGTGGTCAGGGAATATAGCTTAGTGTACCTTCACCTACAGTATAACAGTTCCAGTTCCTGTAAGCCAAGCCTACTGGTACATGACTTCCCTCAGGAATGCCATGTTCACTGACCAAGAAATACAGGAGGCTAAAGAAAGGAAGCAGAAGAGAGTCCCTTTGATTCCAGGAGTGTAGTTGTCCACAGGGGATGGATGGGACTAGTGTCTCATAGGAAGATATTCAGTCAGATGGGCAGGTGGGTCAGTTTAGGCACAGGCAGTGACATGGTCAGCATAAGAACACAGGGTTGGTCCAGGCAACAGGCACAAATATGCTCAATAAACAGGCAAAATCAGGAACACTGATTCTAGCTACACTGGTCTGGTGACACTGTAGCTGGTGTGGTGGTGATTGGAGAACTGTGACTGGTTGCACTATTAGGGCTCATTCACACTTGAGGTTGTGGTTGGTAAAACCTCATGTTTGAGGTGCAGTTTTACCACAGCCTCAACCATTATCTCCTTTAGCTGCAGAGGCAGTGGCTGTGGGTGTACACCTGCCATGACTGTGATGCTTTGCTTCACAGCTATGGAAGGAATTATACCCCCTGTACACCCTCTGATCACAGCTATGGAAGGAATTATAGCCCCTGTACACCCGCTGATTGTTACCTTTTCAAGTGAATGGGGTTGCTTGTGTGCGGTCCAAGGGGCTAATGCAGGTATCGAAGAGGCGATACAATGCCTCTTCACTGCTAGTCAAATGCTCTCTTAAGAGCAGTCCAAACAAGGATGGCTCTTTGGAGAGCATTGCACATGTAAACAAGTCCTAATGGTGAAACCATGACTGTTGCCACGGTAATCAAGAGATACTGTAACTGGTGTGGTGGTGATTAGAGATACTGTAACTGGTGTGGCCGTGATTAAGGTCAATATGACTGGCATGGTGGTAATTAGGGACACTACGACTGATATGGTGGTGATGAGGGACACTCATTGGTGAGGGGGAAACAAATAAATAAACAGATTTGTTAGAAAACCTTTACTTTCCTTTCAGGATCAACATTTTCTATGGGACACTATACTACAAAATACTTGCAAACAAGATTTGTTAATTTGCACACACAAAAAAAGTATTTTTCCTAACAAATTCATTCAAGACTATGTTGCAAAAATGAATACACCCCAATGAAAGTCTTAGGAGCAAAGATAAATTTTAGACAAAAAATCCTAATTAACAAGAATTAAACTACAAGTGAGTGTAAATATTCATTAAACAGGCATCCAGTAGACAGTTATTATAAAATGGCGTTACTTAAAGAAAACCCCTTCACATTTCATGCTGTCAGCAATGGCACCACATGGAGGAGAAATGTCAAAAGGCTTCAGAAAGAAAATAATTTCTTTACACAAGAAAGATGAAGGCTAAAAAGAAGATCAGCAATGCTTTACTTAGCAAAATTTAACAAAGATGGAACTACAACCATCTCACAGAGACATCCAGGCCATCCAAGTTAACACCTTGACAGGAGTGATGAGATGGGTTGAAGAAAATCCCCATGCAAGTTCAATGCAGTTAGCTAAATAAGTAGAAAGCTAAACTGGGAATTGTTTCCCGTGACACCATACGGCGTACACTGCAGAGGAAAGGCATGCATGGGTGTCGTCCACGAAGGAAGCCTCTCCTAAAGCCCATGTACAAAAAAGCCCGTCTAGAATTTGCCAGGGCCCATGTTGAAGAAGACTACTGGGACTCTGTACTCTGGAGTGATGAGACCAAGATAAATGTGTTTGGAACTGATGACTTCAAAACTGTATGGCATCACAAAGGTGAGGAGTATAAAGAAAAATGCATGGTGCATACAGTGAAACATGGTGGTGGCAGTGTCCTTCTTTCATGAGTGCTGCTGATGTCTGGGAGCTGCATTTTATTGACAGTATCATGAATTCACAGATGTACTGCTCCATATTGAAAGAGAAGATGCTACCATCACTCCATGCCCTTGGCTTGGTGCACTTTTCCAACATGACAATGATCCACAACACACATCTAAGGCCACTGTTGCATTTCTGAAGAAGAATAGGGGGAAAGTGATTCAGTGGCCAAGTATGTCTGCTGATCTGAACCCAAACACCTATGGGGAATTCTGAAGAGACAAGTTAAGCATCACTCTCCATCCAGCATCCAGGCTCTAAAAGAGGTCTTTCTTGAAGAATGGAAAAAGATCAATGCTGCAATATGTTGCCAACATGTTCATTCGATGCCTAGAAGACTTGGTGCTGTCCTTACAAATCATGGAGGTCATACAAAATACTAGATGTAGTAGTTGTTGTGGGGTGTATTCATTTTTGCATCCACCAGTTTGGGTAAATCTGAGGATTTTGTAAGCAGAGTTATATTATCAACCTCATGTAATGAGCAAAACAAATGTTCTATACAACTCAGTTTTGTCAAAGTTTTGGAAATTGTTCTTGTGTTCATTGAGATATTGATGAAAATCGTACATTTAAAAAAGGGGTGTATATACTGTACGTGTGTGTGTGTGTATATATATATATATATATATATATATATATATATATATATATATATATATAGGGTTAGCTCAGATGGGGATCATCTTCCCTGGGAAAAAGGCAATCCAGACAGAAAGTCTTCTTAAAAGTCTAGCTTGTAGCAAGTTTAATTAAAAAGGTAGCATAGAAAATAAACAAAACAGAAAATACATTTTTGCCATCCAGGCACTAACTAAACAGCAGAGACTCCTATCTCACAGGTGAAGGGCTTCTCCCAGTCAACAACAAAACATTGTGCAAACCTTTTCCTTTCTTGTACAAAGCAAACTTTCACATCCACAGCTTTCTCTCTCTCAGGTATGGCTTTCCGAGTCCCAGACCAAGAGCAACCACTTGCTCCAGTCCAGCTTTTTTTTATACCACCTGCTAGGGGTCATAAAGAGAGAGGAAAATTTGGTTCAGAACCAACACAGTCAAGATGCTCCAAAAACCTGGAGCAGATTCCACCTTAGTTTCCTACATATGAAAGCATGTGAGTGATACATAGTGCACCTCAATCACAACGCCTTTCATAATGTCACAATATATATATATTTTTCTTTTTGCATACTTTCACCAGAGTTGTGCTGTGTCACCATAGTACACTGTGATTTCTTGTACAGTAATGATCACTGAAAAAGAAATAATATTAAAGGTCACGAATGGCTTTCATTCAAATCTTTCATGACAGCTTGCTTACTATTGTGATTGCTATGATTGGCTACAGCTGTCACATGGCACAGAGCCGCTGTGAATTACCCTGTAGCATGCGATCACTGTGTCCAATTACAGAGATCACAATAGCAAGCAAACTGTCAGGAATGAAAGCCATTCATGACAGTTGTGTTTCCATGTTATCACTGTGATTGATCACAACAAATCACATAGCACCTGGGCCAATCACAGTGACCCAGTATCTAGCTCTATATCCACCGGACACAGCGGTCACAGTATTGAGGATTGGAAATCCTCCAGGAACTGGAGAGCACCTGCCTGTTTGAACCACTTCCTGTCTGGCCAATGTACATATACAAACAATAAAGCGGGATGAAGACTTCTATATTTGACTAGTCAAAAACAAATATGGGGTTTTTCTTCAATAGGCCCCTTTAATGACAGCTCTCTCTGTTTTTTACAGGGATTCAGTTCTATAAAACAGGATGTCAATAAGACCACCGTGGAAGAATTTATTTTAATTGCATTCTCTGACCTAAGGCAACTCCAGTTATTACTCTTCTTCTTAGTTTTAATAGCATACATCATCTGTGTTACAGGAAATATTACCATCATTGTCTTAGTTAGGACTGAACCCTTGCTTCAAACTCCAATGTATTTTTTCATAAGTACATTTGCTGTTCTTGAAATTATGTTTGTGACAGATGCTATACCTAAGCTTCTGGATAATTTGATTTCAGGAAATAAGAGGATATCTTTCATTGAATGTTTTACACAGATGTTTGTTTTCAATGGTTTGGGTGCAACAGAATGCTATATGTTATTGGTCATGGCCTTTGATAGGAACTTGGCTATTAACAATCCTTTACAATATTCTGCTTTTATGAGGAAGGAAATATATTCTCTATTAGCTGTGGCACCATGGATTGGTGGTTTTGCAGCTTCTTCTGTGACTACTGGTTTCACAGCCCAATTGGACTTCTGTGGACCAAACCAGATAAATCATTTCACCTGTGATGTGGCTCCACTTCAGATGTTGTCTTGCTCTGATCCTTCCTTGAGCAAATTAGCCACAATATTAACAGCCGCTTTTTTGTCATCATTTTCGCTATCATCATTATCATAGCCTTTTATGCTCACATTATTACCACCATCTTAAAAATCAAGGGAGCTGAAGGCAAAAAAAAAAGCCTTCTCTACCTGTTCTTCTCATCTTATTGTGACCATTCTTTACTTTGGAACAGGATCTGTGGTGTACATCATGCCTACTGGAGGGAAAAATGACAAATTTCTTGCTCTCATATACTCAGTTCTTACTCCACTCTTAAACCCCTTCATTTATACTTTGAGGAACAGTGACGTGAAGAAAGTGGTAAAAAAAAAAAATTATCAAATATACAGGTATTTATCTATTTAGCCCATAAGCCACACTCATCGTTTACATGACCCTTTTATATATATTTTGAGGAACAAAGATGTGAAAACAGCAGTAAAACTCAACATGAAATTAAATACATATATTTTGTGGTCTGATAAACAAATGGGATTCTTGTAATTGTTATATTCTCAGTGTTTGACCAGCTCACTAAAAAAAACAGATCATTGTATAGGTGATATATTACCTGCTGATAACAGTTAGCAATAAATAACTGTTATAAATGATCTCTAGTTGCAGAGGTGTAAAATTAGGTAAAATGAAATAAATAGTAAATACGCTGTCCATACAATAGTGGAATGCCATTCAAAGTTTTTCATTTTCTGAACAACTTCTAATTGTTAATGGGGAGGGGGAATGGAAATAGAACATTTTCCAGCTAACCTCCATTTTATATCATGTATATAAGTTTTTCATCTTGTGTGTATACTGTATGCAACTGACACAAGTCAAGTTACCAGGTATAGTATATGAAAAACAGTTGGAACAGGATGCCAAGCTGCAGTGTGTGTGGATTGTTATGAAAAAACCCTATGTCATTTCTCAACTGACTTTCTTTCTGTTGTCATCTATTGTGCATGTAGCCATAGACTCTTTTCTGTTGTGTTATGTAACCAAGGTCATCCACTGTCTAAAAAAAGCTTTAACCCAACATAAATACATTGGAACAGAATTTATACATATCTTGGTGTGTGTCTTTATTCTCTTGCAATTATGATATCATAATATGGGTCCACCGACTAACATTATCACATAGTATCCCTTATATGTCCGTGTATGGAATATGTTGTCAAGCTGTCCATACCTGGAATATGTTCTCAAGGTGTCTATGCCTGGAATAAGCTCTGCAGGTTTCCATGCCTTGAATATGTCCATGCCCTGCAGTTGTCCATACTTGAAAATGTTCTCCGGGTGTCCATGCTGAAGATAAATCTTCTTGCTGTATAAGCCTGAAATATGTTCTCCAGGTGTCCATGTTTGGAATATGTATTTCAGATGTCATGCCATGTGAAAATATTTATCGGCCATATCCTTTAAAAAAATATATTTATTTATTTGCTACATCTTCAAATCTCAAATACAGGAAAAAAATAATCACTATACTTAGCTGTGGTCATTTGTGTCCAGGTTGTTGTAGAATAGAATAAATATGCACATAAAAGCTAAACTTCTGTCAAAATCGTATAAGAGATAAGACAGATAGAATAAAAATGAATGGGATTTATATAACTTAGTAAATAAAGAGTAACATTCTGTTTCTCTGGTACTTGCTATCTAATTTTCTTATGAACTGACCTGAATATGTCATGTCACAAAACCCTCCACACAGGAGCGGGACAACTATGGGGGATCGGGAAATGGGGATCATGAGGCCCGTGTCCTTGCCCACACTCAAAACACACCCAAAAAAGCCTATAAAAAAAAAAGGTACCAGGGGCATTTCATGGGGCCCCCTACTGACCCAGGGCCTCGGGCAGTGACCGAGTGTTTGAATGGTGAGTCCGCCCCTGACTCCACACCATATTACAATTAAATAATTTAAATTTAGTAAGATATGGAAAATGGTTATATTTAATTATTTTTTCCATAAATGATTTATTGATGGTAAATAGTAGCGATAACAAATATAATCTAAAATTACATAAGTGTAATCACAGCAACAGAGAAAAAAAAAAAAAACGAGTATTAATATAAAACAGTATCTTACTCGATTCAGTAACAGAAAATATACAGAATACAAATCAGGTATGAACTGTTAGGGTCATCCCAGTATGGAAAAAAATAAGCAAACCCTATACTGCTATGGAGTGCCTAAGTACACAGGAACGACATGGTGGAAGCACATGGGGCCTCTACATTGAAAAGACAAATACAAGGTGCAGCCAGCATTTCATTCTTCCTGTAAGCTTGTTTCGGAGAAAGTGCGAATATGTTGGGACATTAAAAAAAAAAAAAAAACAATATTAAGAAGAAAAGAACACAGAGTGGGGAGCAAAAGGAAAAGGAAAAAGAGTGTTAGAAAAGAAAGAGAAAAAAAAAAAGAGGGGGGGGGAGAGGGGAAGGATAAGTAAATAAAGAAGGTAGCTCAGCCATCCTCTCCCACCTGAAAGAATCTCCGAGCTCCCTGCAAAAAAAAAAAAAAAAAACAATAGGAGCTAAACCCTCTCCTACTGTATAAATGATATCTGAGGAGGGCAACTAAAACGAGGGTCTGTGTCTGAAAGCCGAAAATCGGTGCTTCACTGTTCATCATTAGATAGCCGACCAGCTGACAATAATGAAATCCCCATGTGCTTGATGTGTTAAGCAGAGAAGTTGAATTGTGGATATGGTTATATGCATGTCCCTATACAGTATATCTAGTACATTAACAAAGGTGCAAGCATCTAAAATGGGTCCCAATTGAAATTTTTATGTTATTGTAAAGTTTACCATGTTTGTGATTTAAAAAAAAATAACATAGTTACCTGCACTCCGCAATAGAATTGCACAGAGCGGCCCCCATCCTTCTCTTCTATGGCCTCTCCCAGCTGTCCTTTTTGCAGGCTTTACAGGTTCAACATTTCCTTACCTCTCTAGGTAATAAACCTTTTGACCTTCCTTAGTTGTTGACATTTTAAACCTTATGCAAAGCCTTGTCATTCATTTCACCATGGCCTCTCTATTGTTTACTTCCTTCTTGTCACACCATCAGAAAATTATATCCTACCTTTTCTGATGAAATGGGAATGGGACTTGAGCCAATAATTTTTTAGATGTACAACATAAATCTATAGTTTACATCACACACTGTAAATCCTCAACATCTACACGTTTTCAGTAGTCTGGATACAAGCTACTTATACAAATATATATATAAAAAGTCTACACCCCCCGTTAAACTTACAATACACCAAACAGCACAGAGACAAGCCTCAAACCTTCTAGCACAAAGTCATTTGGCGTGATCACCAAAATTGAACTTTTTAGCACAACCATAAACGCTACATTAGGAGAGGAGTCAACAAGCCTTATGATGAAAGGTACAGCATTCCTACTGTGAAACACGGAGGTGGATCAGTGATGTTTTGGGGATGTGTGAGCTACAAAGCCACAGGAAATTTGGTCAAAATTTATGGCAAGATGAATGCAGTATGTTATCAAAAAATACTAGAGGAAAATTTGCATTCATCAGGCCTGAAGATGTGCATGGGACGTACTTGGACATTCCAACATGACAATGATCCAAAACACAAGGCCAAGTCGACCTATCATTGGCTACCGCAAAATAAAGTGAAGGTTCTGGAGTGGCCATTTCAGTCTCCTGACCTCAATATCATTGAGCCACTCTGGGGAGATCTCAAATGTGCAGTTCAGGCAAGACAACCCAAGAATTTACAGGAACTGGAGGCTTTTTGCCAAGAATGTACAGCTTTACCATCTGAAAGATAAAGAGCCTAATCCACAAAAGACTTCAAGCTGTCATTGATGGTAAAGGTGACAATACACGGTATTAAGAACTGGGGTATGTAAACTTTTGATCAGGGTCATTTGGGTAGTTTCTGTTGTCATTGTGATTTAAAAAGAGTAAACACAGTTGATTGATAATAAATGGCTTCAGCCAAACACTAACCATGAGTGAAAGAACAGTTTTTGTGTTATCATTCATATTCTCTGAAAAATGGCCAAGATATCACATTCTGCCAGGGTATGTAAACTTATGAGCACAACTGTATGTGTCTCTTCCAAAATTCTTCACCTAGATATCTTTTTTATCCAAAGTGTAGTATGCCTTTAAATCATAAATTCTCCACACTAGAGTGAAACTCACATGAAGTAAGGGACTATCACCACACGTGTATATTCCAACGACCATCTCTGTTCCACACCTCAACCTTCAGAACATGCACCTTACCAGGCTCTGGCCATAAACACAAATTTTCACATTGCTCCACAGTGTTCTCTGTAATTGTTTGCTTCCCTAAACTCCTTCTGTGTTCTACACCTCACCCCAAACTCAACAAAGTTGAACAAAGAAAAATAACTTTTAGTGATGTCATAGGGCTACAGGGACTATGACCCACATCTGGTGGGAATGTCCCCTATTAAAAATTTTGGGGGCAAGATCTTAAATCTTTATTGTAAGTCAACAGCGACAACATACCTAAAGTTGCAATACTCTTTATCATTCTGGGCTCAATAAATCTGCCAAAAAAAGAAAAAATATGTTCTTAGGCATTTTTTATGGCAGCAAAAACAGTAATACCTCCACATTGGAAGCCTACCATTATACCATCCTTCTCAGAATGGACAATGGAAGTAGACAATATTATCAATTTAGAATGGCTATTATCACAGGAAAATTATAGAATAGATCAGTTTTTAGAAACATGGATGCCATGGTCATTCTTTCATCTTTTCCAAGAGTTTAGGACCCCATTCACTGAGCCATAAAAACTGAAAAGCATGGTGCCATGATAGATATACCCCCTCACCCCTATATAACTACTATTTGCACAGTATATACTGTAGTTTCTACTTTTGATCGGTAGATACCCATATTTTGCTTTATGTAATGAGTTTGGTTCTTATGTTTGTATAATTTCTAATTCAAATATAAAGAATGTAATAGGCTAATATTTAATGTTTTATGGCATGGCACACCCAATTTTCCCTTTGCATACCCTGAAAGACTTAATCATGACTTATGGCCCAGGATTTCTAACACCAACCTTCAAGGTGTGGTAAAATCCCTGTTTTTATATGTAAGCAGGACGTAAGCTCCACGTTTGCATTTTTGTCTGGACACAGGGATGGGGCAGGAGTGCTTTTAATTTTTAACATTTTTTTCATTAACCTTTATTGCTATTAAATAGGTGCTAACAAGCAGCAATAAGCACAAATGTAAAGCTGGCAAAAGAACCTATGTAAATTTTGAGGAAATATAGATGTCAAGATTTATATATAGAATTACAAATTATTCATAGCAAAAAGGTTTTTTAAGACAAATTGATAATGTTTACATCAAACAAATCTCTTTTAAACATATCTAAAAATGTACAGAAAAGTTTCAGTGAAAAAACACACTTTTTTTAAACAGTGCTTATTCTTATTTGTCTAAATTGATTCCCCTAGCAAATAAAATTAACAGCATTAAACAAAAATTTTAAGAAATGTTCTTACTATTTATGTATGAATCCAAAAAATATTACACTGCTATTAATTCAATATTTCTCCAATGTTATTTTTTTTCTCCAAAAGGAGAAACAAGAAAATAAATTTTAATTGAGATTGGACCCCTGGGTATTAAAACCCCAGCACTCATCTAGGTTTGTTTATCTATTTACATGTGTAGATACAGTATATATGCTAATAAATTGCAGTCTGCATACTATTTCAGCTATTTGATTGTCATCTTATGTTGTTCTATCACATATATGCATTCTACTTGGACTATGGCTGAGAAATTTCTAGTAAGTATACAGTTCATGATACACTTTGTTACACACAATACATTTTATAGCAATAGTAAGCTGAGGGTTTATAATGGTTCACAGATGGCAATTTTCACATTTCTCACATTGGCTTCCCATTTATTGTTTTCTTGGTCACAAGAATAGGTTTTTTTGCCATGAAACTTAGAATTGTGAGCCTGCCAGTTAGAAAATATTTTCTCTGAATGCATTATGTTATATGATTTTACATTACTTTAGTTATGTTTTAAATTGAAACAATAAAGGGACATGAAAACTTCTATATTTGACTGGTCAACAACAAATATGAGATTTCTGTTCCCTCTGCAAACCCCTTTAATGACAGTTCTCTAAATTTTTTTTACAGGGATTCTACTCTATAAAAAAGGACCTTAATAAGACCATTGTACAAGAATTTATTTTAATTGCTTTCTCAGACCTAAAGCAACTCCAGATATTACTTTTTAGCTTTATTTTGGTAGCATACATCATCTGCATTATAGAAAATATTACCATCATCGTCTTAGTTAGGACTGAGCCCTTGCTTCAAACTCCGATGTATTTTTTCATAAGTACATTTGCTGTTCTTGAAATTCTGTTTGTGACGGTTACTATACCTAAGCTTCTGGATAATTTAATTTCAGGAAATAAGAGGATATCTTTCATTGAATGTTTTGCACAGATGTATATTTACAATGGGTTGGGTATGTCAGAATGCTATTTGTTAGTCACTATGGCCTTTGATAGGGACTTAGCTATTAACAGCCCTTTACATTACTCCGCTATTATGAGGAAGGAATTATTTGCTGTATTAGCTGTGGCACCATGGGTTGCTGGTTTTTCAGCTTCTTCTGTGACTACTGGTTTTATAGCCCAATTGAATTTCTGTGGGCCAAACCAAATAAATCATTTCATCTGTGATTTGGCTCCACTTCAGATGTTGTCTTGCTCTGATCCTTCCATGAGCAAATTAGTCTCAATTTTAACAGCCATTTTTGCCAGCATTTTCTCAGTTCTCATTATTATGTCCTTCTATATTCACATTATTAAAGCTATCTTAAAAATCAAAGGAGCTGAAGGCAAACAAAAAGCCTTCTCTACCTGTTCCTCTCACCTTGTTGTGACCAGTCTCTTCTTTGGAGCAGTTCTTGTTGTATACATCATACCTACTGGAAGGGAAAATGACAAATTTCTTGCTCTTATATACACAGTTCTTACTCCACTCTTAAACCCCTTTATTTATACTTTGAGAAACAGTGATGTGAAGACAGCAGCAAAAAAAAATCTGTATTAAATATACAACATATTTATCCTGTAGCACATAAGGAACACTCATAGTTTACATGGCCCTTTCATATATACTTTGAGGAATACTAAAACCATTCAAAATGGAAGAAAATACATTTATTCTGTAGCCTGATAAACCACTGGAATTTGCTGGGATCGCTGCATGCTATTCTCAGAGTGGGATCAGCTCACTCAATAAATAGATCATTGATAGTTGATAGCAGTGAGCAATAGATAATTATATAAATTATCTCTTGCTGCAGAGGTGCATTTCCCCTTAATTGTTAATGCTGCATCAAATAAAAAAAGTGTAAAAAATAAGGGAATTAAAAGTGTCAAAATTATTTTTAAAAACCCTTAAATTTCAAATACATTGAGTGCTTAGGTTGGCATTTGCACACAAATGCCAAATGCACACAGAAGTGTAGGTATTATCATTCAAAATATCTGGAATTACACATTTTTCAAACAGTGTGATTGAACCTATTCCCATCTGCTCAAACCCAAATATTTCTCAAACATCCAAAATAATAAACTAATGTTAGAACTTTGGCAGACATACAGTAGACTTGTGGATTACATTGCTGTTGAGCTCTAATTATTAGTCTCTTTTGTCAACATAATGTATTAGAAAAAAAATCCACTTTTCTGCAGTTCTCTCCAAACCTCAGAAAAAAACTGTAAATGAAACAGAGAGCACACTGGCATAGTGTAAGAACCTCAACAAATCTTTAATTTGTTAACATAAATAAAGCGTAATCAGAAAAATGGTATAAAGAAACCCTTTTCACATATTTCCCATTGGGAACGTCTCGTTGGCCAACTAATACGAGGGGTCTTCAAAATGCTTCCGCACTTTAACTTTAACCAAAATGCGGAAACATTTTGAAGATCCATCGTACACTCATTTGTTCATTATTGCATAATTTTATTATGTTATTACTATTATCTAATATACTGGGTATCAGAGCCAGGAATTGGCAAGTGCCAGGGTGCAGCCTGGCTGGAACTTAGGAGTTCTGGTGTCAGATAAGAAGAGGTACAACTGGTAGCACATCATGGATATGCCAAGTTCAGTAATAAGCAGAGCCAGGCCCAGTATCAGCTGTGCGAGAAGACAGCAAGTAAAGCCAGGGCCAAAATCAGAAAAGAGCACAGGTAGGCAACGTGCAGACAGTGAGGTACAAAGTCAATGGACAAAATCTTGGTCCAGGCTGAGGTTGGTAACAATGAAGTGCAGCAAACATAAGCAGAAAAGGGTAATCCAAAAGCAGGTGAGGATGAAGCCGGGTTAACAACAGGATCTGTATAAGTTTTAGTATCAGAAGAACAGGTGCAAAAGACTGAAAGGCTATTAAGCAATGAACCTATGCACAGCTCAGGTTTAAATAGTCCTCTTGGTGCCAATGGACATGCCTGCACACTTACCCATGCACATATGATGTGTAGTTAGGCATTTATGCCCTTAAACATGTGCATGCTTAAGTGTACAAGGCATTAGCCTGATGGTTGGCATAATGTTCCTGACATTGAGCCTAATATGGAATATATTATCCAGCCAATGAGACCAGTCTTCCACTGTCACATGCATGCCAGAATCAGGCTTTTCTGGTTCCATACTGATGACACCAAACTGCAAGCTGTCACTGTTAACTATAAATTTGATAAAGTGTAAGAAAAGGAGCTAAAAAAGATATCATACATGTAGTGCCAGGCAAACGGGTCAAAACAATGAAGGGCTGCCCTGAGCATGTCAGGGTGGGCTGAAAAGCAGGAGAAGGGTTAAGAATGGTCAGGGAAAGGTTTAAGAATACGACATACAAGTGTTTATTGTTAGAGAAAGCTTCAAGGAGGAACAGACAGCAAGGTGAGCAATCTATTACCAAGATGGCAGGTGGTTGGGTCAGAGTGGTTATGGCTATATTTAGAAGTGCATAAGTTTTGGGGGATTGGGGTATGAGAAGAGGATGGGGACTTCCGGGGCATATTTTACTTTTGTTACAACAATGGCTGGTCTTTGATGGTGTCAAAAAAGTAAGATTGTTGGTAATGTATGTACAGGTGGTTTTTAGAAATATGTATGATTATGTGGCTTACATGAAGCAGGTAATTACTAAGGTTCATTACAAGTGAATAATGGTGTAAAAGAACTGGTGAGTACTGCTGGAGGCAGATACAGGTTTACAACAGAACCAAGGGCAGACTGACAACTCATGGGGCCCTCGGGCAATAGGGGAATCAGGGGGCCCCTGTGTCCTCACCCACACTCAAACCACACCAAAAAATGCCTATGAAAAAGCCTATGAAAGGTACCAGGGGCATCTCATGGGGCCCCCGGGCAATGCTCGAGTGCCTGAATGGTCAGTCCACCCCTGAACAGAACATGCCTCTTGGGGGATCAGGAAGGAATTTTTTCCCCTGCAGGAGCAAATTGGATCATGCTTTGCTGGGGTTTTTTTTCCCTTCCTCTGGATCAACTGTGGGTATAGGATTTTAACTTTTTTTTTTTTCTTTTAATGGTTGAACTGGATGGACTTTTGTCTTTTTTTCAGCCAGACTAACTATGTAACATTGGATGGCACTGTCAAGGATCTGGCTTTATTGATTGTTAGAATTTATACATAATTTTGAAGAAATGGTACCTAGATTATGTTATTGTTATTATCTTGTTATTTAATAAAAGCTTTGGCCATACTACTGCAATAAAAATAATTTGTGTCATTTTTTTTTTTTACGATGTTTAATGTATTTGTTTTTTTTTTATGTTCAATCTACAGTATGGCTTGCTTAAAACTGTACAATGTGCTTACTTTTCCAATAAGGAACCAATAGAAAAAAAAGATATAGGATTCTGTACTATTTATGTAGGTTAACAGCAAAAATATAACTGATTAAAAAGTACTTTTATTAAGCACCTAGCCTTGAGTGGACCTTGCCTTACTGTATCTTGTTCAAGCTATGTAACTGTGACTCATACTAATAATATGTATTGTACATTATTCATGATACAGTATCTTGCGTTGCCAAACATCACATATTCTGTATGCTCCTGTTTACAGAATTCTTCAGTAAAATATATATTTAAAAACAATTTGTTTGCCTTTTTTGCAACGGTTTACTATCCCCTTTCCTTTTCTGCTTATTTATCGCACTAGAAGCTGTATAGTACACAAAAATGCTGCTACTCTGCTATACTGAGCTTTCATTTAGGGCCCATTTAGACTTTCCATTGCATTAAATTAGTCATGTTTGTGCTTTGAAGTGTGTTGCATTTTTGAAAGGGGCTGCCAATCCTCCTCAGCACAACAAAAATGTATCTTTATTTATTGAACACAGCATACAATGTTACAGAGTATTCACATAATGCCCACGAAACTCATAAACTATGCCCTGGAGATGGGCACTCAGACTAGACTGATTTTATGCATGCAGTTGCTCACTTGGATTATATATTCTTTTACTGTGAAGTGTGTCACAATATTGCACTAGGCTGGTGCATCCTCTTTTTATGTTTTTGTTCCAGCTCTTGCTTAAATTTGTGTGTTATGTTGTGCTAAAACGGTGCACTGCATATGCGGTTGAGATGCCATTCAAATTGAATGGCAGCAATGGCACCGTGGTTCACCAATCCTAGTTCCATGCTTTAACCACTTGCCCTCCTGAGGATTCAGCCCTCTTCCTGACCAGGCCATTTTTGCGTTACGGCGCTGTTTTACTTTAACTGACAATTGCGTGGACAAGCACCGCTGCACCCAAATGAAATTGAAGTCCTTTTTTTTCCCACGAATTGAGCTTTCTTTTGGTAGTATTTAATGGCCGGTGTATTATTTATTGTTTGCGCTACGAAAAAAAAAAGCCAACAATTTTGAGAAAAAAAAAACAATATTTTTGACTTTTTGCTATTAAACATGTCTAGTAAACATTTAAAAAAAAAATCAAAATTTGTCAAATTTAGGACAAAATGTATTCTGCTCCATGTCTTTGCTAAAAAAAAATCCCAATACGTGTAATTTAATTGGTTTGCATGAAAGTTATAGTGTTTACAAATGGCGGTATAGATAGTGCAATTTTTTTTTTTCTACTAGTAATGGCAGCAATCAATGACTTATAGCGGGACAGCGTTGGACATTCTGAATTGGTGATCCCCAGTTACAGCAATACAGTGATCCGTGCTAAAAAAAAAAAAAAAGCACTGACACTGTATTAATGGCATGGGGCAGGAAGGGTTTAACATGAGGGGTGATCAAAGGGTTAAGTGGGTGCAGGGAGTGTTTTACTAGGGGGCGGTGTGTTGGTGCTTCACTGTAAGTACACTGCTCTGGATGGCTGTACTGTGCACATCCATCCAGAGCAGTGTGCCCAAGCTGACAGGGAGAACTGTTAGTAAACAAAACAGTCCTTCTCCCCGTCGGAGATGCTCGGTAATCACCGGGCTCTAGTGGGTAATCACCAGCCGGGACCTAGTGACTGACAGCCGTTGTCGCGAATGGAACTGCGGGTAGGGCACGCCCCCTACCCATAAAATGCGAAATCACGTATATATACATGCTGCCCTGTTGCAGTATATCTGTTATAGGGCGGTCGGTAAGCAGATAATGTACATGGAAGGCAACACACAGATCAGAGTAAAGCCCTTTAAAAGGATAGGTTCACCTTTCATAACATGTTACACCCATATTCATAACTTTGAAAGCTTTTGACATTCTCCCCTCACGCTGTCAAATTGAAAAAAAGTGGCCATGCGGGGCTTCGCCTGCTTGGCCGTGTCACTCATTCACAGCATTCTGTGAATGAGAGACTATAAGTCCTGGCAGCCTTAGTGGCTGTCAGCTTGTAGTCCTCAATGAACTAAGACAGCACTGTGGAGCTCTGTAGCAGTTCATTGAATCTTTCT